TAATTTACAAACACAATAAGTCACACAGGCATAAACACAGTACCTGTTCTTCAGGGCTGTCAACAACCACCAGGTCTGCTCCTCTGTCTCTGCAGTCCTTTCTGGCTGCATCCCAGGAACCAGAGCTTTGAGACCGGATATAGCAGCTACAGTTGAACTTGCTCCATCCTCCAGAACATGTATTTTCTACAAGAAATTACAAACAATATATTTAAGCTAGCTATAAACTGGACTGCTCCAATGGCTTAATCACAAAGATCTGTGCAAAATCTATTCTCTTGAGACTCGATAATGATAATAATTATTCTTCTAATAATTCTTATTAGAACTATTATTATTTTATCACAGAAAATAAAGCAATGCCAATTCAAAGAAAAAAAATTCAAAATTTCAAGAAACACAAAAATCAACACTGTAAACACTAGAATAAAAATACTGGCAGCTGCCAGTGCTGCCCCTTAGCCTCCCAGTAGATGCACGTATGGTATACATTTGAAAGTATAACAGAATAAAACAGACTAAACTTAAAATAGAATGATAGAAAAAACTGCAAAAATGTAATAATAGGTCATTGTCAGTAAACTGTACTGCAGTTTAGTGTTTTTTCACAGATCCAATGAAAAGAAGCTGAACATCGAAAATCCATCCAAGAATTTTTGCCGTGATTCCTGACATAAGCACAGTCCTCATCTCCACCATCATCAGGTTGACTCGATGCCCAGTACCTAGCAGGTCAGTCACAACAACATTATCTCATTACTTCATTCATGTCAATTCTGCATGCATCTGTGGATTCAACAACTTTGATTTGAAAATGTAATTAGAGTAACAAAATGAACCAAAGTGAAGACTTACATCAGAGTCGGTGGAGTACCATCTACCCATCTCCATGTTCCCTCCTGTTCTTTGTCATTCAAACCAATCCAAGTTTCTTCATTGATGATTGTAGAGAGGAAAGTCTGTTTAACATGAGGATAAAACATTTTATTTTAGTTTTGAACCAGTTTTATTCTGTGATATACAATCTGGATGGGTAAATAATGCTGCATTGTTGAAAGTGAAGAACAAGAAATTGTTCATAGTTAAAGCGAAGGTAAGCACTACATTGCTAACTCAAACGAATTACCACATGCAAATCTTATCTTTTTATTTCTTTGGTTATTTACACTGTAGGACCAGAAAAGGTATTAAATTGTCACATTAATGTTGCATCACACAGTAAAGTTTACCAAGTTGTTTCTAGTTTCAGTTAAATCGTTCTTCTATTGTTTTCCCCTCCAGGCAGCGGTGTCCCAGTAGTTCTGACGCCACACAAAAACTGGACTGAGTACCACCCTAATATTAGTGAGGTTGTATAGCAGTGCTGCATTTGTATGCAACACAACACAACAATAGAGGATGTCAAGGCGATAGTACACCAGATCCTTGGTCTATTGCTTTTTGCCAGATTCTGGGACCACGGTGTTGGTTTTGGTACAGTCATTTCCATCGTTGCCAAGTTTCAAAAA